CTAGGCTGGTAGGTGCTATCATGCTTGTCAGTGCATTGCTTGCGATGTTGGTTATAATCGAAACGTCGATCATTGCCAAATTGGAGCAAAAGACTCTCCCTGTGAGCTTGCGAGGTCTGAGCCTGCCTCAGGCGTAGGTTAAAATCGGCACGCTCACGCTGACGGTGGGGATATCGTCAAGCAGGTTAAGTGTCCCTTAGGTGACCATTACCTTTATTTTCTCCCATCGGTTGTTTTCCTGGTCGCATCATAGGGTTAGTTTTCCCACGGGACTACGTTCGTGAGCGGAATGGACTCTGTGACATCGGGGATGTCGATCTTCCCTTGGTGTCGATGAACTAGATTGGTCACTAGTTGAATTTCGATCTGTCAAGGTGATGTCTAAGAAGTGTGGCTAGTCAAGGTCCTAGGCGGTAGGTTACTGATTTATTAACTCAGTCACGTTCTATTGCATCATCTGTGCAACCATTGTTCTGATCATCTCCACCAGTTAGCCATTCTCGAGATTCAAGGTCCCTACTCCTTAGTTATTCATAGCCTATTGCCCTGGCGGCACTGGTGGTCGACACCCAACGACATCTTGTTGCACCCCTGGTGGGTGGTTTCCACATTGTCATGGTTTCCGGTGGTGGTTTTCTATCTTGTATGAACCATTTTGGGCCTTGAGTGATTGGATCACTGGGGTTGTTTGCCAGAAATTCTAAGATTTTGGAGGAGGCCCTCCTTCTAGCGCCAAAATGTTGATGTAAAAGTACACCAACTAGAGTAATCTGATCGACCTTGACGAGATCGAAACTGATGTGTACGTGATTATGGGAAACCAGCAATGAATAAACGGAAAATGCAGTAAAGTAAATGACAAGAAGTTTTTAAAGTGGTTCGGTGAGTTATACTCTTGAGCCTATGTCCACCTTTTTTGTATTTGCTATGAGAGCTTACAATAACAATCCTAGAATAATTTGCTAACCCTTTTCTCATCGTTGGAGGGGGTTTATATACCAATTTTGTACAAAGGAAAGAGCGAAAATAAAGGGATTACAATTAAGTTTGAAATGAAACTCTGATATTCTCGCGATTGAGTGTTGTGATTGTGCAAAGATTGTTGTTGATCTGATCATTTCAAGATATCCGAGATCTGAAGCTATCTGTGAATTGGTTGAACAACTGTAAGGATTGGTCGCAACTAGCTTGTGCTAGGTCGAGTTACAACTCAATGAGCTTATGTTGGGTCTGACAATCAGTTGAGTCGAGCTGGTTTTGGATCGAGCTATAACCTCGCAATTCCCCGAGCTTGAAGGAAAAATCACACACAACAACACTCTTCCTCTTTGGTGGCTAGGGCATTCTCTTCTAGTTCTTGATGATTAGACTTTAATTTTGGTCACAAAAAAAAAAAATAATAATAATAATAATAATAATAATTAAAAAAAACCATGAGTAATAATGTCACTTAATAGAGTCACATTCGTTACCACAAATTTGGATTTGTCATGAGGAATTAAGAGTCACTATAAAAATTTAACTTCTTGAATGGGTAGCGAAAATCCTCGCTACAATGACTGAATTTGTTATAACAAAATGGATTCATTATGGAGAATCTATAGGTAATTCCTCATAATCCACTCTCCAACTCTACAGCAGCCAACTTTCATTCAATGCCACTAAACCTGGCAAAATGAGTCTTTACCTACAAGTGAACCTGTACTTGTCCAAAAAATAGTGGGTACAAGTCCACCCTTAAAGATTTGAAAAAATTGGACCTGTACCCGACCCGACCTTTTTTTGGTGGGCGGGTCGGGTATACTTGCGGGTACTCATATAATTAAAAAAATAATAATAATAATTAAAATTTTCCTATTCTCTAATCTACAGCCGGTCTAGCCCTTCTAACTCTCAAACCCTTACAATGAAAAATCCCCAGAAAACTAATACAAACATAATAAAAATTACAAGAAAATCAAAGTTGAAACTTGAAACCCTAAGTACCCACCTTCCCCCACTACTTTTACATTCACTGTTCTGAGTTCTGACAACTCCTGCATTGTTTACCTGTAAATTAAAACAATATTAGGTTCAACATACTGAACAATTATTAGAGCTTAAAAAACAAATGTTTAGGAATGATAATTACCAATATATCAAGCTTTCCATAGTTTGTTTCGATGAAAGTTGCGAGAGAAGCAGTACTGGCAGCAAAAGTAACACCTAGTTGATGAAAAACTACATCAAAAAGCCCAAAAGACTCGAGCTTTTCAACAGCATCATTGTCCCTTTTCGCATCCCTTGCAGTTAAAACTATTAGGAAACAGTCCATATACGCAGCGGAAAACAAAAACATAATAACAAGGATCGTTCCCATTGAGCCAAGATCAAAGGTACAATTTTACAGTTTATGTTAAAATAGAAATCTGCAGAAATTAATCATGAGTTTAGAAAACATACGCACATTTGGAGGCTCCTCCAAATTTGTCAATGAACGTTTTTGCTATCGACCCAAGTGTAGGATCGAACCCACGTAGTCCACGCGAAGACAATCACAAAGAACTAAGGAGAGATTTGCTAGATCCTCCTTAGCTTTAAGATTAAAGAAGAAAAAAAATCAAATGAATTGATTTTGGGCAAAATGAATTTTTTCTTTTACAAAGGAAAAAGTAAATAATGAATCTCACACACTTTTACAATTACCTTTTTTCTTTTATATTAAACTTTAAGTTGCCCTATTCCTATATGGAATAGGCTTGAGCTCCGACCCAAACACTCCATGTTACCAAACACTCCCAATTAGATATTTTATATTTATTTCATCATTATCTCAATTAAAGTCAATTAATATATATTTAATCTATATATTAACATTTAACAATAATAATGATTTAATTAAATATATGTGAACACATATTTAAACGTAATTTCACTTATTTAATTTTTCTAATAAATTAAATAAAGGCTACGACCTCAGTAAATTTAATTGCACTGTGAAATTACCAAAATACCCTTTCGCCTAAAAAGACAAAAACACCATTTTTTCTTCTTGGTTCTTAAATTATCTTCTATGTGTGTGACCCATAGGCTCCTCATCATACTGGCGGTGTATAGTATCGCGATTAACACCAATTAATCGTCTCACTAATACACAAACCAAGATTGGCCCCTAGCAAGGCATCATGGCCACCCGATAGATTCGGATTCAGCAAAGTAGCTACCTGTCAACGATATGGTTACCGTACAATTCGATCCTTTCATCATCCATTATCTCGACGAGACGAAGGCATAGAAATAGTGTCAACCTTTAGTTACTCTCGATATTATGTATTCAGTTTCTGGACCAATGACATGTATTATAAACTAGATAGAGCAACAACTCAATCCCACTGTGGCCACAGTTTTAGTGTCATTGCCATATACTGAATTGCAACGTGAGATAACTTCTCTCATACCCGGGAGTGATGAATCCTCTGTCGATCCACCATAGTCTTGATACACTCCTTGATGCAGCCAATCACCACCGTATTGACAGCTCTGAATAGAACTGCATTAGGCTAGTGTCAAACTGCACCAATCGGTGCACAAGGCACTCTGGTGATCTCAAGTCTAAGGATCACATGCACCACCATTCGTTAGAGGATTTGTTCCATAGACACTGGGGTTACCATCCATATGGAATCCTCTAGTGGGTCAGTCCAGTGAACTTGTTGCGATGTAATTGCCTACAGTAAGCACCCATGTGTTGCACCAGGTTGTCACCAAACAACCTTGACAAGTGAGATCAGTCACTGCCTTTCGACAGGGTCGTTCAACACTATGATAGCCTTACCGTATTATCTGTGTCGTTACTTCAGAATAATACTAGGGCTACGGACGTTTCTAGAATGACCACCATATGTGCTCATAGGGTTCTCACAATCAAGATTTGAAACACTTGATACCCTCGTCACGGTTCTACCATTCTAAAGACATATATCAATACATATTGCAATAATAATGATTTACGCGATATAGAATAAAATGCCTTCTATTGATTAATGAACATTATTACAAAGAGTCAATTCTACAATAATTGATTGGCTCTAGGGCATCTACTCTAACAAAAACCACAGTAATCCTACTGGAAGCTAATTGCCTGCATATCTCATATCCACGTCCCTTTGTTGCCCCCTTGAAACAATTGCAATCCTACAACAAAATTCAAACAAAAAGTGACCTCTAATTGCACTACTAAATTCATTAATGGCCAGAATACTTTAAGAAAAACCATATTATTTTTTTGTAGTGGAACTCATGCCGGGTTTGGTTGCTATAGTCATTTGTATATGATTTATGTATGTAATTTGCTAAAAATCATTTATTAAGATTGTTATGCAACCTTAAGGATTCTACAAAATATCAATCTCACACACAATCAAATCAAGAACACGGAGATTTACCGTGGTTCACTTATCCTTATAGGGTAAGTTACATCCATGTTGAGCTCAGGAAAGAGATGAGCTCGCTGCACTTACTATTATCACAAGAATCATGATTACAACACCTCAAAACAAACCAACACAGAATCACTCACCCTGATACAAAATATCCCATAATCAGCCCTTATAGAAACTCACTTGGTAACTCTAACCTGAGAGAACAACACCCTCACCAGAATGATTAAACCCCTAATCACTCTAATCTAACCGATTACACAAGGCAAGAGTAAAACCCTTTACAAACCCCAACTCCTCAATCACACAAAGAAGACAATAGTGATTTTACCCCTTTTGAATGAAAAAGTTGAGTTTATATATGGTTGACTTGGTGGCTGGATTTTGGCTGTTGGATCTGAAGAGTAATCTGCGGTCAGGATTAATTTGATAGCATGTATGAAATGATGTCGTTCTACTTACTAAAAAACGACATTGTTTTCAGGCTTCCACTTCAATAATCTCCACCTTGGAAGCTTTGAAAACAGTTCCTCTGTGCAGCTTGCTCAGTCCCATTCCCTCATGGCTCTTTGTCACTCCAGACTACTTTACAAATAGCAAGTTCAAGCAATGCTTGAACTTTGCTGTAGTGACTATCTTGGTGCCCATATCTGCTGGATTCTCCTCTGTAGTAACCTTCTTAAGCTCAATAATCCTATTAGTAATTTGATCTCTCACAAAATGATAACGGACATCCACATGTTTAGTTTTTTCATGATACACTGGATTCTTGCTCAGATGTATTGCACTCTGACTGTCGAAGTACACTGTCACCTTCCCACTAATTAAATTTGCTTCTGTCGGAATTCCCTTTAGCCATAGTGCTTCCTTAAATGCATCGGTCACTGCAATATACTCGGATTCAATTGAGGAAAGGGCTACTATAGGCTGCAGTTGAGACTTCCAACTTATACAGTTTCCACCCAATGTGAAGAAGTAAGCTGTAGTTGATTTTCTGGTATCTTTGTCCCTTGCAAAATTAGCATCTACAAACCCAACCAGATCAAATGCAGCATTCCTTTTACAATATTCAAGACCAACACATACAGAACTGTTTATGTATGTTAACATCCATTTCAAGGCTGTCCAATGCTTCATACCTGGGTTAGACATATACCTGCTCAACATAGAAATGGCAAATGCTAAATCCGGCCTAGTACTTATCATGGCATACATCAGGTACCCCACAACATTAGCATATGGGACAGACTCCATTTTCAACACATCTGCCTCAGTTTTGGGGCATTGGATTTACTGAGTACAAACTGACTGGTCAGGAGCATTGAAACCAGTTTGGCACCAGCCATGCCAAACTTTGTGACTAACTTCAGCAAGTATGACTGTTGCTGCAGCCTTAGTTCACATCTTCTCCTATCCCTATTTATCTCCATGCCTAGAATTTTCTTGGCACTTCCTAGGTTTTTCATACTGAATTCAGAATTTAGTTCTTCTTTAAATCAGTAATTTGGGATTTAGACTTACTAATCAACAGCATATCATCAACGTATAGGAGTAAGTAAATTGGCATGTCATTATTCATTTTAAAGTAGAAGCAACTATCATATTGACTTCTAGTAATCCCTATACCCACTATGAATGTGTCAAACCTCTTGTACCACTACCTAGGAGACTGTTTTAAGCCATATAATGACTTTTTAAGGAGACATGCATGGTCTGGGGCCTTAGGGTCAACAAAACCCATGGGTTTCATTACAAACTCACCCCCATATCAACATATTCTCCATGAAAAATCCTTACAATTAACTCCCCACTTTTCCTGCTAATTAGGGGTAGAATGGTCAAATTGCCCTTAGGGAAGAAAATATCTAAAACTTAACCAACATTTTAATCGGCCTGTCGCCGCGGCGAAGAAACTTCTGTCACCGCGGTGAAACTGTCCAGAGAGTTTCCCCATGGTTTCAACACATCTTAGCCGCGGCGAAGATTCTCCTTCGCCCCGGTGAAGCTTGGCACACTAAACTTCTTCTATTTTCAACCAATTTCAGGGCAAGCATTCAACGCAACACTTAATCAAACAATATTACCAAAACCAACTCAAATAAGAGCAAAAGAAGCAACAATAACTACGTACCTCATGTGGGGCGTTACACTCACTAGAGGTGGCAAGAAGTGGAGATGCTCAAGGAGGATGTCTTGGCTAGGGCCGAGGTGGCAGAGAAAGAGAATGACTCAAAGCAGACCAAACTTGAGCTCTTAAAGAGGAAATGGCGGCCTTCGGGGTCAAGGAAAGGGAATTCCTTGACAGAATTTTGGTGATTGAGGCTGCTCGGGCAAAGGCTAAAGCCAAAGAAGTCGAGGCTGAGAAGAGTTTGGCATAGCAGCTAGGTGCTAACAATAAGTTAAGCTCCGAGCTCACATCGGCTTAAAAAACTGCCTCGGATTGAGAGACAAAGTTTAAACAGGTCTCACTCGATCTTGCCCAGGAGGTGGAGGGTCAACAAAAAGCCGAGGCTGAAACTGAGCAGCTTAGGCTCAAAATCGAGGAGCTGAATGTGGTCGTCATGAATCGAGCTTAGGAGACATCGGTCTTCCTTGTGTAGAAGTTTTGGGAAGCTTATCCCTCGATTGAATTCTCTTTTCTTCCATAGGCTTATCAAAAAGAGGTCGATAGGATGAGGACCGAGGCCCAAGGGATGGCCTATGTTTACTCAAACGACTCTAAGCCCCATGGTGAGGGCGAAGAAGAAGTCGAGGATGGAGAGGAGGATGTAAGCATTAAGCAGGAGGTCGAGGATCCAGCTCCCTTGGCTACGTTCCTGCCTATTGTCACCGACCTTTCTTCGATCAAGACTCTGATGGATGTTCTGACTCCCAACCCTGAAGAGATTGCCAAGACTCTTGCCATCGACGATCCTTCTGCCCAGATTGGTGACGATGCCCTCGCTCCTCCAACTGCTTAGAAATTTTCGTCTTTTTGTCTCCTTTTTTTTTTTTTTTTAGTTTAGTTTGTAACTAAACTTTTGAATCAATGAAAGACATTTTTTTGCATATATCTGTTGAGCAATTTTTAATTTCTGCAGAGTCATTTTGAATTTGTTTCAAGTTATGTGTAGCTTGCTTCTTGAGGAACTTTTTGAATATATATGAGAAAATCTTGTGTGACAACTCTAAGTTTAGACTAGCTGTCCATCTCAAGTTTTAGCCGTTGGCTTATGATCGATTTTCTTCGACGTGTTTTATTTGAATTTTTCTAAGTGTAACTTCGTCGATTTGGGGAATTTCACCACTAATGAGTTGGATTTTGGCGTGGCTTATCAAGCTAAGCTTCATTTTTTCGAACTCTTGACTCTGAGTTTTTGGATGCGATCGTGTAGGTCACAATTTTTAAAACAAAAGATAATACATGACGAACAAGATACTGATAAACATAAAATAACGAACAACATAAAGTTCATGAATAATAACTTTATTTATTGATAATATTTTGGCTATAAACAACTTTATAATGAATATAAGGAAGAAAATAAAACATGATTGGAACCCGAGCTACTCTTTGGTAGTACCTTCGCAGGTGCTCGGCGTTCCATGCTCACAGTATGGCTTTGCCATTGAGGCATTCCAGATGGAAGGTTCCTGGTGCGAGCTTTTCAGAGATCTTGAATGAACCTTTCCATTTGGGCCCAAGTGCCCTCAGATTCGGGTTTTATGTACCTTGGACAACCTTTCTAAGGACTAGGTCGCCCACTTCAAAGTCCCTATTCTTGACTTTGATATTGAAGTATCGTCTGGCTCACTGTTAGTATAAGGCAAGCCTTAACTAAGACTTGGCTTGATTTTCTTCAATTAGGTCTAGCCTCAGGCGAAGAAGATCTTCATTTTTTTCTCTGTTGAAGACTTCCCTGCAGAACGAACTAATCCCCGCTTCAACTGAGGGCATAGCTTCACACTCGTATGATAGAGAGAAAGAGGTTTCACTTGTCGAGTTTCTGGCTATCGTTTTGTAACACCATAAGGCCTCGGGCAATTCCTCAGCCCATCTTCCCTTTAGGGCATCAAGCTTCTTCTTAATGGTGTGCTTGATCACTTTATTCACAACCTCTACTTGATCGTTAGCTTGAGGCTGATAAACAGTAGCGAAGCTCTTCTAAATACCAAACCGTTTGTAGAAAATCTAAAGTCCTCCCTGTCGAACTATTTTCCATTGTCGGTTATTAATGTGTGGGGAATTCCGAATCTACAAATGATGTTTTTGTACATGAAATCTTTCATCTTATTCGACATGATGGTAGCTAAAGGCCCGGCTTCTACCCACTTGGTGAAGTAATTTATTGCGACCACTGCGAACTTAACACCTCCATTTCCTTAAGGAAAAGGGTCGATTAGATCGATCCCCCATATTGCAAATGACCAAGGACTTGTCAAGGTGGTTAACTCTTGAGGTGGAGCTTGCTAAACATTTGTAAATCTCTGGCATTTGTCGCATCTGCACACATAGTCTACTACATCATCAAAAACTATTGGCCAGTAGTAGCCTTGACGAAGCACCTTGTATGTTAGAGATTTTCCCCCTGCATGGTTCCCACAAATGCCTTTGTGGATCTCTTTCAGAACATAGTCTACGTCTTCATGATCAACATTATACAGAAGTGGTGAATTGTATCCATGCTTATACAGTCTATCATTGATGAGCGTGTATCGAGCTGGTTTTGCTCAGAGTGTTCTAGCTTCATTTCTTCCTTTAGGCACTGTTCCATCTTTTAGTTAGGTGATTATTGCCTTCATCTGGCTGTATCTCTGCCCTGTTACTAAGACTGGTTCCTATGGAGTGGGGATGCTTAGACTTGGGAGGAATTTAATAGGTATCGAATCAGTCTTCTCTTGGCTTATTGCAAAAGCTAGGAGAGCTAGAGTGTCAACCACTGAATTCTTTTCCCTTGGGATTTGAAGAATATTGAAGCATTTGAACTGCTCAAACTTGGCTTTCACTTGCCAAAGATATGATGCCATTTTGTGCTCATTTTCCTGATATTCCTCAATAATTTGATGGACTACGAGCTGGGAGTCGCTATAAATCTTGATAGACTATGCCCCGATTTCTTTGGCATGGCGGATCCCCATGAGCAATGCTTTGTATTTTGCCTCATTGTTGGAGGCGGCAAACCTAAATTTGACTACAGCTTTGATCGGGTTCCCTTTGGGACTTTCAAGCAAGAGCCCAACTCCTATCCCTTTCTCATTTGAGGACTCATCTACATACAGAGTCCACTTCCAAAGGTCATCAAGATTTGGTTTCTATTGTTCGCTTACCTCCAAAGTGCTCGCCCTTAGCGGGCTTACTTCCCCTTCGGGCTGATAAGAAAATTTTGAAATGAAGTCTGCCAAGGCCTAACCTTTTATCGCTGTTCTCGGGATGTACTTGATATCATACTGACTTATTTCCATCGTCCATTGGAACAATCAGCTTGATACCTCGGGCTTCTGCATTATTTTCCTCAATGGACAATTTGTCAGCACATGTATGGAGTGCGCATGGAAATAGGGCCGCAGCTTCTGAGTGGCAATGACAAGAGTATAGGCGAGCTTCTCTATTTCGGGCTACCTTGTCTCAATGTCAAGCAACCTTTTACTAACATAGTATACCGGCCACTACACTCCCCCTTCTTCACGTATCAAAGCCATGCTGATTGCAGACTTAAAAAACCAATAAATATAATAGTAGCGGCTCGCCCTAGACAGGCTTTGATAGCAAAGGAGGTTGCTCTAGATGCTTCTTCAATTCTTGGAATGCTTTTTCACACTCCTCTGTCCATTTGAAACCCTTACTTCCCTTCAGAGTTTTGAAGAATGGTAGGCACCTATCTGTGGCTTAGGAAAAAAATATGTTGAGTGCGGCCACACGCCTTATCAAGCTTTGAACTTGCCTTATGCTAGTCAGGCTTTTCATGTCCAAGAGAGCTTGAATCTTTTTTGGGTTGGCTTCAACACCCCGCTAATTTACCAAGAAGGCTAGAAACTTTCTCGAGTTTACTCCAAAAGCGCACTTCAGAGGGTTGAGCCTCATTCTATATTTTCTAAGGATGTCGAACATTTCCCTCAGGTGCTCAACGTGGCTTTCGGCAACCTTTGATTTGATGAGCATGTCATCGATATACACCTTCATTGTTTGGCTGATTTACTCGATGAACATCTTGTTCACCAAACGTTGGTAGGTTTCCCCAGCATTCTTCAAGCCAAATGACATAATCCTATAATAGTAAATCCCCCGATCAGTAATAAATGAGGTGTGTTCTTCATCAGGCTGATGCATTGGGATTTGGTTATATCTTGAGTATGCATCAATGAAACTGAGTTGTGCGTTCCCAATTGTCGCATCACTAATTGGTTGATTCAAGGCAGTGGAAAGCTATCTTTGGGACAAGCTTTGTTCAAGTTTGTGAAGTCAACGCAAGTCTGCCACTTGCCATTTGACTTTTTCACCAAGATTGGGTTGGCAAGCCAGTTTGGGTATCTCACTTCCCTAATGAAGTTGATGTTCAGGAGTTTGTCAACTTTATCCTTCAGTGCTTTAGAACGCTTTACATCCATAGATCTTCTATTTTGTCTGATTGGTCGAGTTGTTGGGTCAACATTCAATCTGTGGCATATTACCTTGGGGCTAATCCCCACCATATCCGCGTGTACCCATGCGAAAACGTCTAGATTTTTCTTTAGAAACCCCACCAAACTGTTGGCCATTTCTTTGTTTAGATTGTTGTCAATTTTTAACATGCAAGTTAGGTCTTCTTCACTGACAGCTATTTCTTGCAGCTTTTCTATCGGCCTTGCTATGGGCTCTTCTTTATGGATGCAAGGATCTATGGTATCCTCAAGAGGTATGGGGTTTGGCTTGGACTCTACAATGACCATGGTTCTCAGGAGCGATCATTTTAGTGTAGCATTAGTGGCCTAGTTGTAACATTCTCGGGATTCTTTTCTGCAACTTCTGATCATCGCGACCTTGCCTAGAGTCGGGAACCTCATTGCTTGGCAGCGCACTAAAGTGACTACACTTAGATCATCCAAGATCGGTCTTTCGAGGATGACATTGTATGTGGTTGGGCAGTCCACTGCTAAGAATTCTGCCATCACCATCCTGATTTTGGGTTCTGCCCCCAAAGTCACAGGCAGGTTGATCATTCCCTTGAGGACCAAGTTGTCCCTAGTGAATCCATAAAGTGGCGATGGGCACGCCCTCAAATCTCTCTATGAAGCTCATTTCTCGGAAAGCTCCCAAGAAAATGATGTTCCCTGTACTTCCATTATTGACCATCACCCTTAGTACTCTAGTGTTGCTGATCCTGGTTGTGATCACAATCGTATCACGATTATGGCAAGGAGATTCTTCACACTCTTTCACTGTGAATCCTATCATCTCCCTCTCTTGTTTAGACTGCTTGTGTAGCTTCTATTCATAGCTCATTACTCAAGGGACTCAGTCTGTTTGGACCTCTCGAGCATATTGCTCACGAGAGTGCCTTGAGCTCCCTGTAATGTCGGGACCCCTATAAATCATGTCTACCAAGACTTCATTGTTGGCATTGGCTGGGGCTTGCTAGATCTGGTTATTCTACTCATCAATGTTTTCGTGAGCTGGTGCCTCCTTAACAAATTCTTTTAAGTGGCCCCTCCAGATCAGATCCTCGATGGCATCCTTTAAAGGCCGACACCCATTGGTGTTGTGTCCGATGTCTCAGTGGTATCGACAATATTTTTGCCAATCTCTTCTGTTTGGAGCCTCCCTCATTCTTTCTGAAGCAGGTAGTCTCTTAGCCTTACAAGAGACTTCATATATATAAACTTTGTCTTGTGTGAGGGGGGTGTATTCTGCATACTGCGGGAAAGGCTACCTTTCCCCGAGATTTTCTGTCTTCTGCCTCTTATGGAACCTATTTTAGTCCCGGTCATTGCGGGCTTAGCCCCTTTGTTTATCTAACGAGTGATCTTGTCGCTTGTTCGGGGCTCTTCACGATGAGCTTTTGGCTAGGGTGACTAGCGAGCTTTCTACTCGCTGATGCTTAGCTTCCATATGATAAAGCTTTGCCAGGCTCACATGATCTTCATTTTGTGGCTCTTTCCACAACTGTGTTTATGGCCTGATGCTCGCAATCAGCAAAGTTTGGATTGATTCTTTAGGTGCAGCCGCGACTTTTGCCTGCTTGTTCTGGAAGCTCGTTAAATACAAGGTCAGTGTTTCGTCACTACCTTTTCCACTGCATTGTTCTAGCGGGCTCTTAGATTGTCGAGCATTTTCTGTACCTGATCTAAGTCTTCGTTGTGAGAATTGCCCAGGCTTGCTCAATTCAGCCTTACCTCGAGCAAGTGAGTTCACAAATATGTTGCTTGTGAGCCCCCTCCATTATGCGCATTGATGTGCAAGGTTGAGTCATGATGGCTAGGCTGGTAGGTGCTATCATGCTTGTCAATGCATTGCTTGCGATGTTGGTTATAATCGGAATGTCGATCATTGCCAAATTAGAGCAAAAGACTCTCCTTGTGAGCTTGGGAGGTCTGAGCCTGCCTCAGGCGTAGGTTAAAATCAGCACACTCACGCTGACGGTGGGGATATCGTCGAGTAGGTTGAGTGTCCCTTAGGTGACCATTACCTTTATTTTCCCCATCGGTTGTTTTCCTGGTCACATCATAGGGTTAGTTTGCCCGCGGGACTACGTTCATGAGCGGAATGGACTCTATGATATCAGGGATGTCGATTGTCCCTTGGTGTTGATGAACTAGATTGGTCACCAATTGAATTCTGACCTGTCAAGGTGATGTCTATGAAGTGTGGCTAGTCAAGGTCTTAGGCGGTCGGTTGCTGATTTCTTAACTCAGTCACGTTCTATTGCATCATCTGTGCAACCATTGTTCTGATCATCTCCGTTAGTTAGTCATTCTTGGGATTCGAGGTCCCTACTCCTTAGTTATTCATAGCCTATTGCCCTGGCGGCACTGGTGGTCGACGCCCAACGGCGTCTTGTTGCACCCCTGGTGGGTGGTTTCCACATTGTCATGGTTTTCGGTGATGGTTTTCTATCTTGTACGCACCATTTGGGGCCTTGAGTGATTGGATGACTGGGGTTGTTTGCCGAAAATTCTGAGATTTTAGAGGAGGCCCTCCTTCTAGCGCCAAACTGTTGATGTAAAAGTACACCAACTAGAGTAATCTAATCGACCTTGACAAGATCGAAACTGATGTGTACGTGATTATGGGAAACCAGCAATGAATAAACGGAAAATGCAGTAAAGTAAATGACAAGAAGTTTTTAAAGTGGTTCGGTGAGTTATACTCTTGAGCCTACATCCACCATTTTTGTATTTGCTATGAGAGCTTACAATAACAATCCTAGAATAATTTGCTAACCCTTTTCTCATTGTTGGAGGGGGTTTATATACTAATTTTGTACAAAGGAAAGAGCAAAAATAAATGGATTACAATTAATCTTGAAATGAAACTCCGATATTCTCACGATTGAGTGATGTGATTATGCAAAGATTGTTGTTGATCTGATCATTTCTAAGATATCTGGGATCTGAAGTTATCTGTGAATTGATTGAACAACTATAAGGATTGGTTGCAACTAGCTTATGCTAGGTCGAGTTACAACTCGATGAGCTTATGTTGGGTTAGACAATCAGTTGAGTCGAGCTGGTTTTGGATCGAGCTATAACCTCGCAATTCCCCGAGCTTGAAGGAAAAATCACACACAACAACACTCTTCCTCCTTAGGGCTGACAAATATATTTATATGGTGGCTAGGGCATTCTCTTCTAGTTCTTGATGATTAGACTTTAATTTTGGTCAAAATAATAATAATAATAATAATAATAATAATAATAATAATAATAATTAAAAAAAACCATGAGTAATAATGTCACTTAATAGAGTCACATTCGTTACCACAAATTTGGATTTGTTATGAGGAATTAAGAGTCACTATAAAAATTTAACTTCTTGAATGGGTAGTGAAAATCCTCGCTACAATGACTGAATTCGTTATAACAAAATGGATTCATTATGGAGAATCTATAGGTAATTCCTCATAATCCACTCTCCAACTCTACAGCAACCAACATCCATTCAATGCCACTAGACCTGGCAAAATGAGTCTTTACCTACAAGTGAACCCGTACTTGTCCAAAAAATAGTGGGTACGAGTCCACCGTTAAAGATTTGAAAAAATTGGACCTGTACCCGACCCGACCTTTTTTTGGTGGGCAGGTCGAGTATACTTGCGGGTACTCATATAATTAAAAAAATAATAATAATAATTAAAATTTTCCTATTCTCTAATATACAGCCGGTCTAGCCCTTCTAACTCTCAAACCCTTACAATGAAAAATTCCCAAAAAACTAATACAAACATAATAAAAATTACAAGAAAATCAAAGTTGAAACTTGAAACCCTAAGTACCCACCTTCCCCCACTACTTTTACATTCATTGTTCTGAGTTCCGACAACTCCTGCATTGTTTACCTGTAAATTAAAACAATATTAGGTTCAACATACTGAACAATTATTAGAGCTTAAAAAACAAATGTTTAGGAATGATAATTACCAATATATCAAGCTTTCCATAGTTTGTTTCGATGAAAGTTGCGAGAGAAGCAATACTGGCAGCAAAAGTAACACTTAGTTGATGAAAAACTACATCAAAGAGCCCAAAAGACTCGAGCTTTTCAACAGCATCATTGTCCCTTTTCGCATCCCTTGCAGTTAAAACTATTAGGAAACGGTCCATATACGCAGCGGAAAACAAAAACATAATGACAAGGATCGTTCCCATTGAGCCAAGATCAAAGGTAAAATTTTATAGTTTATGTTAAAATAGAAATCTGCAGAAATTAATCATGAGTTTAGAAAAACATACGCACATTTGGAGGCTCCTCCAAATTTGTCAATGAACGTTTTTGCTATCAACCCAAGTGTAGGATCGAACCCACATAGTCCACACGAAGACAATCACAAAGAACTAAAGAGGGATTTGCTAGATCCTTCTTAGCTTTAAGATTAAAGAAGAAAAAAAATCAAATGAATTGATTTTGGGCAAAATGGAATACTACCGTGGGAGAGGAAATGGGGCTATGGGGTTTTTCTTTTACAAAGGAAAAAGTAAATAATGAATCTCACACACTTTTACAATTACCTTTTATCTTTTATATTAAACTTTAAGTTGCCCTATTCCTATATGGAATAGGCTTGGGCTCCGACCCAAACATCCCATGTTACCAAACACTCCCAATTAGATATTTTATATTTATTTCATCATTATCTCAATTAAAGTCAATTAATATATATTTAATCTATATATTAACATTTAACAATAATGATGATTTAATTAAATATATGCAAACACATATTTAAACTTAATTTCACTTATTTAATTTTTCTAATAAATTAAATAAAGGCTACGACCTCAGCAAATTTAATTACACTGTGAAATTACCAAAATACTCTTTCGCCTAAAAAGACGAAAACACCCTTTTTCTTCTTCTTGGCTCTTAAATTATCTTCTATGTGTGTGACCCATAGGCTCCTCATAATACTAGCAGTGTATAGTATTGCGATTAACACCAATTAATCGTCTCACTAATACACAAACCAAGATTGGCCCCAAGCAAGGCATCATGGCCACCCGATAGATTTGGATTCAGCAAAGTAGCTACCTATCAACGATATGGTTACCGTACAATTCGATCCTTTCATCATCCATTATCTCGACGAGACGAAGGCATAGAAATAGTGTCAACCTTTGGTTACTCTCGATATTATGTATTCAGTTTCTGGACCAATAACCTTTATTATAAACTAGAAAGAGCAACAACTCAATCCCACTGTGGCCACAGTTTTAGTGTTATTGTCATATACTGAATTGCGCCGTGAGATAACTTCTCTCGTACCCGGGAGTGATGAATCCTCTATCGATCCACCATAGTCTTGATACACTCCTTGATGTAGCCAATCACCACTGTATTGATAGCTCTGAATAGAACTGCGTTAGGCTAGTGTCAAACTGCACCAATCAATACACAAGGCACTCCAGTGATCTCAAGTCTAAGGCTCACATGCACCACCATTCGTTAGAGGATTTGTTCCATAGACACTAGGGTTACCATCCATATGGAATCCTCTAGTGGGTCAGTCCAATGAACTTGCTGCGATGTATTCGCCTATAGCAAGCACCCGTGTGTTGCACCAGGTTGTCACCAAACAACCTTGACAAGTGAGATCAGTCACTGCCTTTCGACAGGATCATTCAACACTATGATAGTCTTACTGTATTATCTGTGCCGTTACTTCAGAATAATACTGGGGCTACGGACATTTCTAGAATGGCCACCATATGTGCTCATAGGGTTCTCACAATCAAGATTTGAAACACTTGATACCCTCGTCACGGTTCTACCATTCTAAGGACATATATCAATACATATTGCAATAATAATGATTTATGCAATATAGAATAAAATGCCTTCTATTGATTAATGAACATTATTACAAAGAGTCAATTCTACAATAATTGATTAGCTCTATGGCATCTACTCTAACAAAAACCACAGTAATCCTACTGGAAGCTAATTGTCTGCATATCTCATATCCACATCCCTTTGTTGCCCCCTTGAAACAATTGCAATCCTACAACAAAATTCAGACAAAAAGTGACTCCTAATTGCACGACTAAATTCATTAATGGCCAGAATACTTTAAGAAAAACCATATTATTTTTTTGTAGTGGAACTCATGCCGGGTTTGGTTGCTATAGTCATTTGTATATGATTTATGTATGTAATTTGCTAAAAATCATTTATTAAGATTGTTATGCAACCTGAAGGATTCTACAAAATATTAATCTCACACACAATCAAATCAAGAACACGGAGATTTACCGTGGTTCACTTATCCTTATAGGATAAGCTACATCCACGTTGAGCTCAAGAAAGAGATGAGCTCGCTGCACTTACTATTATCACAAGAATCATGATTACAACACCTCAAAACAAACCAACACAGAATCACTCACCCTGATACAAAATATCCCGTAATCAACCCTTATAGAAACTCACTTAGTCACTCTAACCTGAGAGAACATCACCCTCACCAGAATGATTAAACCCCTAATCACTCTAATCTAACCGATTACAAAAGGCAAGAGTAAAACCCTTTACAAACCCTAACTCCTCAATCACACAAAGAAGACAATAGTGATTATGTCCCTTTTGAATGAAAAAGTTGAGTTTATATATGGTTGACCTGGTGGCTGGATTTTGGCTGTTGGATTTGAAGAGTAATCTGCGGTCAGGATTCATCTGATAGCATGTATGAAACGACGTCGTTCTACTTACTCAAAAATGACACTGTTTTCAGGCTTCCACTTCAACAATCTCCACCTTGGAACCTCTGAAAACAATTCATCTGTGCAGCTCGCTCAGTCCCATTCCCTCATGGTTCTTTGTCACTCTAGACTACTTTACAAATAGCAATTTGCTGGAGTGACTATCTTAGTGCCCATATCTATTGGATTCTCCTATGTAGCAACCTTCTTAAGCTCAATAATCCTATTAGTAATTTGATCTCTCACAAAATGATAACGGACATCCACATGTTTAGTTCTTTCGTGATACACTGGATTCTTGCTTAGATGTATTGCACTCTAACTGTCGGAGTACACTATCACCTTCCCACTGATTAAATTTGCTTCTGTCAAAATTCCGTTTAGCCATAGTGCTTCCTTAAATGCATCGGTCGCTGCAATATACTCAGATTCAATTGAGGAAAGGGCTACTATAGGCTATAGTTGAGACTTCCAACTTATACAGTTTCCACCCAATGTGAAGAAGTAAGCTGTAGTTGATTTTCTGGTATCTTTGTCCTCTGCAAAATTAGCATCTACAAACCCAACCAGATCAAATGCAGCATTCCTTTTACAATATTCAAGACCAACACATACATAACTTTTTATGTATTTTAACATCCATTTCAAGGCTGTCCAATGCTCCATACATGGGTTAGACATATACCTGCTCAACATGGAAATGGCAAATGCTAAATCCGACCTAGTACTTATCATGACATACATCAGGGACCCCATAACATTAGCATATGGGACAAACTCCATTTTCAACACATCTGCCTCAGTTTTGGGACATTGGGATTTACTGAGTACAAACTGACTAGTCAGGGGCATTGAAACCAGTTTGGCACCAGCCATGCCAAACTTTGTGACTAACTTCAGCAAGTATGACTATTGCTGCAGCCTTAGTTCACATCTTCTCCTATCCATATTTATCTCCATGCCTAGAATTTTCTTGGCACTCCCTAGGTTTTTCATACTGAATTTAGAATTTAGTTCTTCTTTAAATCACTAATTTGGGATTTAGACTCACTAATCAACAGCATATCATCAACGTATTGGAGTAAGTAAATTGGCATGTCATTATTCATTTTAAAGTAGAAGCAACTATCATATTGACTTCTAGTAAACCCTATACCCACTATGAATGTGTCAAACCTCTTGTACCACTACCTAGGAGACTGTTTTAAGCCATATAATGACTTTTTAAGGAGACATGCATGGTCTGGGGCCTTAGGGTCAACAAAACCCATGGGTGATAAGAGCGTAATTTATATATTTTTTTATTCCTTCCATATAATGTTTTTTGTTATATTTTATGCCTAGTTGTGTTGATTAGAGTTTATTTTGTAAGTTTGGCATATTTGGATAGACTTTATGAAATAATTGAGAAAAGATTAGGAAATTCCAGATTTTTTGTTATTCTGACCAGTGCTGCGTTTTTTAGGTTTTTCATGGAGTCAGATTTCTCGACTGCAAAAGTGTACTTCAAAACAAGTAAAGTAGACGAATCAAGCCTTCCAAGAAGGTATTATGGGCGAGAATCCGAGTTCGTTTGGGCTCTCATTAGTTGTTGCAAAACCGGACCTGGAATCCTATTCGCGGAAGGATTTCCTGGCTGAGTATTGAGTCTTCGAATGGGCCTAACTGGAGCTTTAGATATCGAAAGCAAGTGATTCAAAAGCCCAAATTCATCTATACATCTAGGACTACAACATTTATGAAGTGACCGAGTCCAGAAAAGTTCTTTTACATTGTGAGAATCCTGGTGCAAACTGGATTATGAATTCTGTTTTTCGTATCTGATAAGGAATTGACAGTTTTGGAAGTCTATCATTTAGGAAAGGTCTAGGAAAGTAATTTCTGTTTTTCCTGGGGAAGAATTGAGGAAAAACACATTATTTATTTATGAGTTGTTAGGTTAAACAGAGAGAACGGGTGGATTTTTTTTTTTTTAACTTTCTACATCAATATGGGCGGCTGATCTTTCTTCTTCAGTTCAAGGGGATTTTGAAGCCTGAATTCATGTCATTGGTGTAACTTAACTTCAGTAACATTGTTCTTAATCTCATTCTTATTGGAATTGTTTATGTTATTATGTTTTAACTGTTTATGATTTTTGTTTGAGTGATTTAGTAATGGCCTGCTAAATTGTTTAATCAGAATTTTATCTGTTAGAATTAGGAATTGTGATACATAATTGTCCTCTTTCTATTCAATGAGTAACACATGATGATAGATGATTACGGACAAGTTCTCAATCTGTCACCTTGAATAACATAACCTAATTTTAATAATCTGATTTTGCTTGATTTTTGCTTGGATTGATCTATTTTCCTAATGCTTAAGGCTGCCATTGAATTAAACTTAGAGAGCTTATTCTAAGTTGT